GGGAGCGGCCAAAACCTTACCCCCCCCCCCAAAAAAAAGAGTCTAAAGATTAGATGATATAGTTTGCATTAGTAAATTTAAGAATTATACTATTTAAGAATTTGTGCTTGTTTCTATGAAAGACACTAAGGTTATTAATGATAAGGAAGTCATATTCTCTAAAGGGGGTATTTTGAGCCCCATGCAACAGTGCTTGGGATACTCTTGGCTCGGCAGTCACAAATTACTCCTGGCAGTGATCCAGGACCCATCTTTGGTGCCAGGAACCAAAATGGAGTCGACTTCATGCAAGGCAAGACCCTCATAACCGTACTATCTCTCCAACCCCACGGTGATAAGCTTATTCTCAAATATTTCAGAAAAGGAATACGGGTACAAAATCAATGACGAAGCAAATGGGCTAATGTTATTATCTGACTGATTTCTGAGAAGGACCCTTAAATATTTTCAGAGAGAAACAAAGTTTTTGTTTTTAATATTTAATAAACATTTGGGGGGTGAGGGGGAGATTTATGCATACCCAGTGATGCTTAGGGACTACTCCTGACTCTGTACTCAGGGATCAGTCCTGATGACACTCGTGACCATATGCAGCGCTGTGGATCAAGCCAGGATTCACTTCATGCAAGGTAAGAGCCTTTATGCCTGAATTACTGTCGGCCCACATGGCAACTTCTCCTTATGCTACTTTTTTAGGGGGCTCTGGGGAACTTCCCAAGAAATGCTCCAGAAGTTGGGGTCCCATCCCAGAACAGTGGCTGTCAGTGCCATGCAGTTCAATGCTCAGTATGACACGGCAGTGCCCAAGCCCTAGAGGTGAAAAGGAGCCACCATAACCATACCTGGTGGTACTGGCTGGGATTCACACAGCCAGATCTGTGCTCCAGCCCTCTGAAATATCTTACAGCTCATTTTGTACCATCGTGTTTTTCTTTTTCTTGTACTATCTTGAAGTTTTATTTTAAAAAGCAAAATTCTTTCAATTATTTTATAAAATAAAATTTTATAAAAGAAACCACTTTTCATTAACCAGATGATATAATTAATATACATTGCTGGCACAGGTGATTAAAAATCAAATCTCCAGGGCCAGAGAACACAGCATGTAGGGCACCTGCCTTGCATGCAGTCAACCTGGTTGGATCCCTGGCATCCCGTATGGTCCCCGAGCCTGCCAGGAGTAACCTCTGAGCAATGAGCTAAGAGTAAGCCCTGACCACTGCCAGGTATGGCCCAAAAACAAAATAAAAACGAAACAAAAAAAAAATGTCTCTGAAATCTGGAAGGCAGAAAGCAAACTAATTAAAAAAAAAAAATCGACCTGCTCTTCAAACCGATGTTCTCCCTTGAACACTAGCTTGATTGTCTGTTTCTTTGCCTTTGCTTACCTGTTTCCACTCGGTTCTCTCTTGAATTTGTACTTCTGCTTCTCGCCCCTCACATCTTTCTAAATATATTTCACTAGGGGCCAAAGCAATAGTACAGTGGGGAGGGTGTTTGCCTTGCGTAGTGCTGGCCCAGGTTCGATCCCGAGTATACCAAATGGCCCCATGAGCACCACCAGAGCATTTTATTGAGTGCAGAGCCAGGAGCTACCCCTGAGCCTCACCACGGCCCCAAAACCAGAAATAAATACAAATTAAGTTTAGGAATACTAACTTATTATAAATAAAACATCTACCTAAAAATGTTAATACAGATCTGATCTCATCATAGGAAAATATTGGGTAAGTAGTTACCAGACTGTTGACAGTAACTCTGTCCAGTGAAAAGAGCAAGAATAGGAAATAAAGAGTAACACTTTTTCCTTCTACGCTTATCAAGGGATCTCCAAGAGAAGGGCTGTGAGAATCACCTTGGCTGGGAAATAAGTTCATGGCTTATTTCCAGGCAGGCACTTTTAAGGCACTGAGCAACCCTCTGGGCACCAAAACAGTAATTTCATTTTTATCTCTAACATTTTAATACTCTGAATTTTTTGTAATGACCATGTACTATTTCAATTCAAATATAATTTTGATAGATGGGGAAAGAATAGAAACTCAAAACATAAAAAGAGAGAAAAGATGAGTAAAGGGTTAACAAGCAAACAGCAAAGCATGAGCAAAGCATGAAAATAATGCCTAAGAAAAGGTAGTACAGCAGAGACAGGATAGCAGGTACAGGAGAGCATCCAGGTTCAATCCCTGGCATCCCTTCTGGTATCCCAAGCCACACCAGGAGTGATCTCTGAGCAAAGCAGGAGTAAGCCCTGAGCGGGCCTCCTTACCCAAAAAAAAAAAAAGAAAGAAAAGAGAAAAGCTACAGTTGCAGGGAAAACATGATATATATTGGGAAGATAATGTCCTAAAATAAATACCAAAATAAATTTTAAATTGACAGCAGAATAATCTAGAGCTATACTAATATAGTAGGTCACCAATCACTAAAATACAGATAGTCCAAAATGTTTTACAAATACAAAGGTAATCTGGCAGTGACATCTTTCAGCATACTTATCCACAAGGTTGTTTCAGCTGACCCGGCAGCTGTCCCATTTCTCCCTTACCTCTCCATGTGCAGACAGTGCTCCCCAAATAGAGATAATTCTAATGCAAGTATAAGAGCAGCTACACCCTGTGGCCCCCGCCCCCAAATCACCACTACTACTGAATGTCCAAATAAGCTTTCAAAACGTTGTTAGTTTTCAAAGGATGTCAAAGACCTTAATATAAAACAATGAAATGCAGGGACAGAAAATAAAGTATAAGGCACATGCCTCGAATACAGCAGATACCATTTTGATTGGCACCTAAGCACAGCCAAGAATGAATGCTGAGCAGAGCGAAGTAAACCCTGAGCACTACAGTGGTTGGTTCAGAAACAAAAAAAAAAAAAAAATGCAAACAAGGGTTGGAGAGTTAATACAGGGTTAAAGCGCTTCCTTATACAGCCAACCCTGATTCAATCCCCAGCAGCACCAGGAGTGATCCCTTAGCACAGATCCATTAGCACTCCCAACTACCCCCAAAATAAATAAGCAAAAGAAACCTTTTGAGCCAGAGAGATAGTACAGGAATAAGACACTTTGCCTTGCATGTGGCCAACCCAACTCAACTGCCAGCATCAAATATGGTCCCCCGCCTAGCACTACCAAGAATGACCCTGAGCAGAGAGCCAGGAGCCAGGAGTAAACCCTGAGCACAGCCCAGGTATGGCCCAACAACAACAAAAAAATAATACACAAAATCTTAATACTCTTATATTACATACTAAAGTATTATTTTGAAAATAATGGGTGAACCATAAAAATCAGAATTTCACCTTTGACTTTTTCCTTAACGTGCCTAATCACTGTCACTGTCCTCCCGTTGTTCATCGATTTGCTCGAGCTGGCCCAATAATGTCTCCATTGGAGACTTTGTCGTTACTGTGTCTGGCATATCGAATACGTCACGGGGAGCTTGCCAGGCTCTGCCGTGCGGGCGAGATACTCTCGGTAGCTAGCGGGGTCTCCGAGAGGGGTGGAGGAATCGAACTCGGGTCAGCCATGTTGGCTGCGTGCAAGGCAAATGCCCTACCGCTGTGCTATCGCTCCAGCCCGACGTGCCTAATAGCAAATGTAAAATTACATACAGGGCTCAAATATTTCTACTGGAGATTTAAGAGCGGACTGATCGTCAATTTGTTTTACATCAGCTTCTATTACTTCAGATACACCTCTTCAAAATAACAGCTGGGTTCTTGTGAAGGATAGCCAAATCTCTCTTTAGTAGGCCTAAGTTTTTCCACAGTAAATGAGTAAAACTACCCTATATAAGATTTTACATATCATGGGGTGGAAAAGAAGAAAAAGAAAGGGGGGGGGGGAATTAGGAGCTGGAGATTGTACAGCAGATAGGGTGCTTGCCTTGCACATGGCCAAGCTAAGTTTGATCCCCAGCATCTCATATGGCCCCTGAGACAGTCAGGAGTGATTCCTGAGTGCAGAATCCTGAGTAACCCCTGAACACACAACACTATGGCCCAAAAACAAACCAAAAAATATTTTTATATTGTTCCTATGTTTGTAACTATTGTTAGGAACAATCCTATGTTTGTCCAAGAAGTAAACACAACCTAAATATCCATTACTGACAAATAAAAAATACTATAAAGGTAGCGTATATATATATAAGTCGTATATGTACCTGTTTAAATAAAATGTCCACAACAGACAGACCTACTCCAAAAAAGCAGGATAGTGGTTGCATGCAGATAAGAGGCTGAGAGGTGAAAATGGAAAATGACTGCCTACGATGTAAGGGTTTTTCTGGGGGATAAGAAGGTTCGAAAGTTCACTGGTAATGACAGTAAAAATGTGAGTATCTAAAGACTATAAAATCATACAACTGAAAGCAAGTGAATCTTAATATATATAAATTATATCTCATTAAAACGCTTTGTTTATGGGTCAGAGAGACACAATGCAAGAGAACTGAGTTTGATCCCCAGCACCACCAAAAGTAACTTTGAGCAGAGACCAAAGTAGACCTGAGCACTTGTGGATGTCTCCCCCCCCCAAAAAAAAACCACAGTAAAATTGTGTTTTTAAAAAGATGGGGGCAGGGCAGACTGGAGTGAGGTTTGTTTGTGTGTTTTAGAAATTAAACAGATCTTGGGCATGTAATTCAAGTATACTAAGCAGTGTTTTATATATATATATATGTAAGGTAAAGGCCCTCCCGTTAATCGTTGATTTGCTCGAGCGGGCCCAGTAATGTCTCCATTGGAGACTTTGTTGTTACTGTGTCTGGCATATCGAATACTCTCGGTAGCTTGCCGGGCTCTCCGAGAGGGGCGGAGGAATCGAACTCGGGTCGGCCATGTTGGCCGCTTGTAAGGCGAACGCCCTACCCGCTGTGCTATACATATATATACGTATACAAACACCTCCAATAAAACTGCTATTAAAAGAAAAGTAAAAAACTGAGCAGCCTAGAAAAATGACTTCAAAAATTATTTTTTCATATCAATCTTACTGAGAACACTCTGAAGTCTTTCCTTTGTTCTGATAGTCCATTATACACTGAATAAGATGGTTATTTTCATCCAACATCTGAAATGAAACAAAAAAAAGTTCACTGTAAATCAGGTGCATTAATATAAAAGAGTTTTTTCGACTCTTCAGATATCTAGGAATACTTACAACTGAATCCACTCAGGTCTCTTTAATATACCACAAACCATCACTGGAATACCACATTTAACCAGTAACTTTTTTTTTTTTTTGCATGGGGAGCGGGTGCCTCCCTGATTTAGGAGACCCTGGGCCCCTCCCAGTAGTTGTCAGCAAATGGTGCAGAAGTTCAGTGCTACAACTGAAGGACTGAGGGGGCTGGAAAGGAGCCCACCACTGACAGTGCTGGGGACGTCCAGAGCTGCAGTCTACAACAGTCAGGGTACCATGGGTGCCAGGGATCAGAAACGATTATGCGAATCCAAGGTAAGCACTTGAACCCCTACACCATGTTTCCAGGCCCAATCACTTCATTTTTAATACCTTATCCCTATTATATGCCTTGTAAAATTATCACCTAAAGTTCAGAAGGAAAAATTTGAGTTTCTCTCTTGTCAAACTTTTAGTTGGCTTTGCATCACTCTAAGAATTGGTAGTAGTAAGAAAAGTTCCATCCTTCAGAATGAAGTAAACAGATGAAAATGTCTGCCTAAGAGGCTTGAAGAAATACTTCGCTAATTTACACGGTTTATGGGGCCCAGAAGATGGTACTAAGGGCAAGGTGTTCACCTTGAATGCGACCCACTGGTGTTGGATCGCAACATCATAAATGCTCCCCTCAGCACCACCAGGAGTGATCCTGGAGCACAGAATCAAGAGTAAGCCCTGACCATTACCAGAGGTTGAAAAAAAAATTAGTATGTCTACACAGTATTATTTTGTGATCCTCCAAATATGGAACAAATCAACTACAATATCTATCATATATACTTATTGCACACGTTCTGGACTTACCTTTTAATTAAGTTGTTCCAAAAGTTTGAAAACAAAAAGCAGAGCAATTTGTCATCTACAACAATTCAAAGCAACATTAGCTTTAAGAATGAATTAAGTAATTCGTTTATGCAAAAATGTCATTGAGGACTGTCAGAGTTCTAATGAAGCAGTTTTAAAAGGCCAATTTGCTCTACTTCCAGTTCTGTTAAACTGTACAAAGCACTAAAAATTTTAGGGTTTCAAGAGGCTGGAGAGATAACACAGGAGTTAAGGCACTTGTCCTAATGTGAAGGACCTCGGTGTGATCCCTGGCACCACATGGTCTCCTAACACAGCTGGGAGTGACCACAGCACTGCCAACAGCAACCCCAGCTCTGCAGTAAGTCGCACAAACCCCACCCCCAAAATAAATGAATTTTAAAATGAACAACTTCTAACATAACTGTGAATTTTTCAGTATAAGAACCATAATCTTAACTTGCTAGGAGAAAAGTACACGCCCTTCCAAAAAGGCGGTTACTTCTCAAACATTATCACTCAATGTTGAAACAATCTGTCCGGAAAATACATTAGTCCTCTCTTCAGTCTAACGATTTAGCATATTTTCTCAGCATATCCCTCTAACAAACGTCACCCTTATATTATGTCTCACATCTAACGTCATGCCCTCACACTGTAAAATGAGACATTTAAATTGACTGGTTAGAATGGAAAACAGTCAGCATCTCCCGAATAGATGCATTAACCCGAGTATGAAAGAAAAACTGAAGAGAAAAAGGAAAAACCCGTAACTTCTCAACAGTTCAAACACAAAAATACAACGGGTGAATCGCTCTGGAAACATGTTTTGCATCTGTGGGCTTGGGAGTCACTTTCCAGGCAGGAGACTTCGCCCGGGTGCACCGCAGGAAAGCATTGCAGTTCCAGGCGCTGCCAATCCGATTCATTCAAAAAAAAAATTAAAGCAACAGTTGGGCAAATGTCAAATGCCACACACCCGAGCGCCTGACAGTTACACAGAAACCGCGTAAACGTAAATCAAAAGGGCACGCGATGGTGCCGGGGAAGGGTAGTAAAAGTTGATTCTCTCTCTCTTTCTCTTTCTCTCTCTCTCTCTCTCTCTCTCTCTCTTTCTCTCTCTTCCAATTTCATCCCAGCTCCCGGGCATAAAAACAAAACGGAAACATTGAAGGCAAACCGCTAAGTTCACAGCTAAGCAACTTGCCCCAGTCTAGGGGGCTCGCGTGCACAAGGCTCCCCTCGCCCGTCAGCAAGCCGGGGCCGAGAACAATGAAGAACCTTTGTGTACCCGAGACTGGCAGGAACCCGGCCCCGACGGCGCCCGCACTGCCCCCGCGTCGGTTTCACGACTCCGGTAACTGGCGGCTAAGCTCGCCGCGGCTCCCGCCCGCCGACGGCCCGCGCCGCGCGCCTGCCCGCCCGCCCGCCCGCGCGCCTGCACCCACCGGCTACTTGCACACTAGGAGACCGAGCAGGAGGGGCTCCTGGGCCGGCAGTGGGACTCCCGGGGCAAGCCCGGACCCTCGGGGACCTCTTCCCTCTTCCGCCTTCGGGGGGACGGACCCCCCCCACTCCCCGCCCCCGCCCCCAAGTTCTCCGGAGGACTCCTCCTCAACTCGGTTGGGAGTTTGCTGCGCGGCGGAGGGCGGCGACGAGAAGTCGGGGCTGGCCCGCTCGGCCGGGCTCGGGGCCGCGGAGAGGCGGACCCCCAGCAAGCCCGGGACGCGGTGCCGGCGGCGGCTGGGGGCGCCGGGCCCGCCCCACAGCACGCGCCCCATCCCTTGGAGAAACCGGCCGGCGCTCCCGGGGGGCTGGGGGGGGGGGGGCTTTTGTGCCAGGGAGCGAGGCGCCCCGACGCGGGAAGGGCGCCGCGGGAGAACCGGTTCGCCCTCTCGCGCCCGCCGCGCCGACGGCAGCCGGAGATTCGCGTTCCCACCACCCGCAGGCCCGCCGCCGCCGCCGCCGCCGCCCCCGGCCCGGCCGCCGCCCGGCGCTCGCTCCCCGAGGCGGGAGGGGCTCGGGCATCCCCGGCCGCGCGGCCTTTCACCTTCTGGATCGCAGCGGGGGTGATTTCCCCTTTGCCGCGCTGCCTCGGGGCCGCGAATGCCACCGACATGTTGCCGCCGTCACCACTCTGGGCAAGTCCCGGGCGCTCCCCGAGAACGGCAAAGTAGGGGGGAGGGGGGCGGGCTAAGGGGGGGGGCGGGGAGAGTCGCCGGCCGCTCGGGCCGAACCACTGCGGGAAGCGGGCGGGGGGTGGATGCTCCAGGGCCGCCCGCCGGGCCGGCCAGAGCGGACAACGCGCGCCCTCGGAAGGCCTCTTCCGACGTGTCAGTAGGGGCCCGCCAGCCCGGGAGGCTCCTCCGACTCTCCGGCCACCGCCCGCCCGCCCATCTCCCGTGCCCACTCTCCTCCACCCCCCCGGCTCTCCGCGCTCTTGGTAGCGCCGCGCCCCAGCCCTCCCTCCGCTGCCGCGATTCAGGAAATGGTCCCGCCGCCGCGGGAGACGGAGAGGCTGGGACGGCCCCAGTCACAGGAAATGCGAGCGGCGCGCCGGCCCGCCCCCTCGGCGCCGCGGCAAACTGGTTCACGCCGCCCCGCCGCCCGGTGCGCTCGCTTGTCCGCGCCTACAGCCGCTCCAGTGTCAGCTTCAGCCCTCCCGGGGACGCCGGAGAGCCCCGGGGAGCTTCACCCAGAGGGGCCCGAGCTCGCTGAGCGCCCATTCGCTGGTTTGAACAGCTCGGCGACGCCCCGAAGATGCACCTCGCTCATGCGCCTCCCCCCCCCCGCCCCCCGACCCCGAGGGATGCGGAGCGCTTGGCCCGGGAGCGTGACCCCCGATTCCGCAGACCCAGGCTGTGCCCTGTGTGCAGGGACAGTTGGCCAACTTGTCTCTTGCACCCGGAAAAGCGGCGCAGCACCGGCAACAAAACCCTAGCAGCAGTGTGCGCCCCTGGCAATCAACGCTCCTTTTCTTCTCCAACTCTATATAAATTGTGTGTTTGTGTGTGTTGTGTGTGTGCGCGCGCGCGCGCTCCCTTCTCCAACTCTATATCATAGTGTGTGTCAACGCTCCCTTTCTTAACTCTATATAATTGTGTGTATTAACGCTCCCTTTTTTCTCCCACTCTAGATAATAGTGTGTCTGTGTGTCCGCGCGCTCACGTGTACTCTTAGACCTCAAGCTACCAAACTTCAAGTCGAGGGAGTAAACTTTCTGATTATGAAAGGAACATAGGCAAATGTAAATAATAGTCCAGTGTGGGTGGGTGGCTTTCTATCAGTTTAGGCTTTGCTTTAATGCAAAGTTTATCTATGTTAAGTATCGCTTAACATTTTTATGGAGGCTTAAAAGCAATACCTCGATTTTATTAAGTATCAAAATGCATACTTTTTAAAGTGTTGGTTTCTAAAATAAAAAACACCAAAAAAGGATGATGAGTTTGGTTCATTTGGCAAACATTCTACGCTCTCAACTTCGTGCTGGACACCTAGGATACACGTGTAAACAAACAGGATTTTCTATTCTGATGGGAAGACAGGCTGGAAACGAGTACATATACATAATATGGATGAAGTTGTTAAGGAGGACAACCAAACAAGAGACTTAGAAAGTTGCACTCCCACTTATGTTTAGTCTGAGACCTATAGGCTGAAAAGACTCCAACCATAGTAAAAATAAGATTTTGTAACCCTAATGCTAATTATTTTTGTGATGTTCACTGCCCTAAGCCTTGAAACATTGAGATTAGGAAGATGTTGTATTGAATTCATAACAGAACACTTGGCTTTCATCATCATGTGTTGATTACACATTAGTAGTTGTGACTATTTCATTTGGAAAAAGTGAAAATCCCACAACTTGGCAGATAGCTATTGAAATCTTGATGAATCTCTGTATCCTTGTTTAAGGGAGGAAAAAAACTAAAAATCTTTTTTTAAAAAAAAAGAAAATAACCAAGTATTAATCTATCTCAAAGAGAGAGTCAAAGATCTTTTTGTTTAAATGGTGTGTTTTTATTTTCTTTGTTTAAACTATAGTTTTTTAAGGGGTATCGGTATCAGGTGCGGGATAGAATGAGGAATCAGCTGAAAACAGGCAACCTGGGGACTGTTCTGCCCATGGCACTTTTTCAGAGTAAAGTGATGAGGGTCGGGTCTATAACAATATTTCCATCTGGGGCCATATGCCCAAAGGATACTTAAAGAAGGCTACAGATGCAAAGTAAGTAAATGAGGAACCAAGGCAGGAGACCAGAGGGCCAACCAGTAGAACAGGGGGACCACAACAAAGACACATGTTCCAATTGAGGCCATCTTAGGGAAAGGATTGAGAAACACTGGTCTGGGACATCCCCAGGCATGGATAACCACAGCATTTTCTGTAATGCCACGTGTACAAAAGTATATTTTCTCTGCATTATCCTCCCAAATGGGCTGGAGCGATAGCACAGTGGTAGGGCGTTTGACATTCCTTACGCAGGTCAGCCCAGCCAAGCTGAGTTTGATTCCTCCACCCCTCTCGGAGAGCCTGGCAAACTACCAAGAGTATCTCACCCGCACGGCAAAGCCTGGCAAACTACCCATGACATACACAATATGCCAAACACAGTAACAACAGGTCTCAAAATGGAGACGTTACTGGGCCCGCTCGAACAAATCGATGAACAACGGGAGGACAGTGACAGTGACAGTGATCCTCCCAAATAAAATCAGTTGGGAAATATTAGGGTAAAGGCCCCATCAGAAATACAGGGGAGGGCTGGAGTAATAGTATAGCGGATAGGGTGTTTGCATTGCATGTGGCTAACCCGGGTTCAAACCCCTGCATCCCATACAGCCCCCTAATTCTGCCAGAAGTGATCCCAGGGCTCCTGAGCACTACCAACTATGGTTCAAAAATAAGAAAAAGCAAAACAGGGAACTCCCTGAAAGAAGACATTCCTTACTCTCAAACTTCCTTGGTAAATTGAGACACTGATCAGGAGAAGTAGAAAATGCAGAAAGAAAGGTGGCATCTGAAGGAAATTCTTAGAATATGGGAAGCTTTGTAATTTTATGTGCCATGTGTTGGGGGTAAGGGGTGCAGGGGGATGGGGAAGTTAGGGAAAAGAAGTAAATTCTGCCTGGAGAGTTAGTACAATGGGAGGGTGTGCCTTGTCTGCAGCTGACCTAGGTCAACCCTAGTACCACATATGGTCCCCTAGCACCACTAAGAGTGACCCCCGAGCACCACTGGGTGTGACACAGAAATGTAATTCTGCCTCACTTTACCATAAGCTTTTCATAAGAATCACAATATACACACTGAATTGTAGCAAAGTTAGAGATTCCCCAGCATTAAATTAGGAGGATATGGAGAATGAATATGGGAAGTTTGCTCAAGTCTGAGAAATTATTCTGTGAGCTTAAAAATAAGCTACAGAGCAGAAAATTCAGTCTCATCTCTTAGCTCTGGTATTGAGATCTGAAAAGGAATTTGAGGTAATTAAAAAGGAGGTAAGAGGACTGGCGAGGTAAGGTATTTGCCTTGCAACCAGATTGCAGTCCCAGAGTCACATATGGCTCCCTCAAGCGCCACCAGGAGTGATTCCTAACTGTAGCTGCAGGAATAACCCCTGATAATCCCCACGTGTGGTCCAACAACAACAACAGGAAAAAAAAAATAAAAGAAGATGAAAGGAGCTGGAGAGAGAGTACAGTGGGTAAGGCATATGCCTTGTACAGGCCAACCCGAGTTCAATCCCCAGCAACCTATGTGACCCCCCCCCCCAGCCAGCACCACTAAAGTAATGAGTTCAGAAACTGGAGTAACCCCTAAGCATCACCGGTGTGACCCAAAACCAAAAAATGAAGGACGTGAAATATTTTTTTGGGGGGTGGGAGTGGAGTGACTTACACAATGGCTCAGAATAAGTAAAATAATATTCCTGAACAATTCTTGATTGTTCACGCTAATGAATGCAGGCACATTTAATTAAAAAAGTAATTAAGAAAATTTTTATTTTTAAATGTTTCCATTTTAGAATTTATTTTACATGTATTGATTTGTATTCCTTAAATGTATTCCAATAGATTAGTCTAAAGTGAATTGTTCTAGGATTATATTCGGAATTTAGTGAAACTATATAATTATGGCATCAAAATTATCTTAACAAAAAACATGCTTTTGAAGATAATGTGATTACTTTCATATAAGCAATTCTTTAATTCTTACTGCTTTATAATTAATAGAATGTACTATCAAACTTGCTGATGCCGTAAGCCCCTGTGCTGACATAAATTCTTAGAATACACTGGGAAGGGATAGACAAGGCCTGACTTTTTGTAATTGGGCTCAGAGCAAAACCCCTCAGGTAATATCTTTCAAAATATTTCTGCTCATTGTCTCTATGGCATTTAATGAGTCATTTTGAATTGTGGCTTCCACAGATTTCAAGACTGTAAGAAGAACAGCATGCATCTATGTATATCATCATTATTCCAGGCAAGAACAAATTACCTTTTCCATTTTTCTATAAAAGATGCTGTTCTCAATACCTCGGAAAAAAAATTCAAAGTAGATTCTGTCCAAGTTGATCTGCCATTTTTATCTCTTCTTACAATAGCAAAGATTAAGCAAATTAAGAAAAGTAAATGGAATACATTTTGAGATTTAATGTTACAGGAAATTATTGCTTGAAAAGATACTATCTGTGATGTTCTCTGTAATTTTAATACTCTGTGACAAATGCATAAGTTAAGAGTCCCTTAGGTCAGTTTTATTTCATTCTTATTCCTGAAAAACAACTACCCTATCTAAATGGCTATTTAAATAATAAAGCACTTCATAATTTATTGAGCATTTATTATGGACAACCATGTGCTACATGATTATTTTACATTAGACTTAAGATTATCACAGTTTTAATATGTACAATATGGAAAATTATGGAGGGCATTATAAATTACAAACCATGAATGATTAGTATTTGATAATGTAATGATGTGGAACTATATAGACATCAAAAGTAGAAATTGTGGGGTATGGTGTCGCCAGCAGGTCAGTTTGTACCTGTGAGGCAAGTGCATCAGCAGCCTCATGGTGCCTTCAGACTTCCAGATACCCCAAAATTGCTGCTGTGCCTTTGGCCAGACCCCAAAAACTTGGGGCAAAATTTACCAAGAAAGT